GCGGGCCCCCAGGTAGGCGCCTCCCCCGGGCGCGGACGGTGCGGGCCGGAGCGCGCCGGGTGATTTGCAGTGGGGCCGGAGGGTCCCGCAGATTTAAGTAAAACGTTCAGTTTTTAAAGTTGTCTGGGTCCCCAGCTCCGTTCCTGCCCAGATGGGGAAATTCGGTCGGTTAGCCATAACCCTAGGTTATGGCTCCATCTCCATCTCAACTGGCCACATCTCGGTTTCTTTTGAGGTTAAAAAAGAAAAAGGAATTGATCAGGTCCCAGAGCCCGCGGTGGGACCCTCCTGCCCAGAGGACGGAACAGATGCTAGGTCTTACCGACCCCCCGACCCCTGCGTGGGGGCGGAGGCCCCCAGCGTCTCTAATCCAAGGATGGGAGCCTCGGGGAAGGGGCGCTGCCAGGTCCTAAGGAACCAGAACCAGGGGTCCATCCCAGGTGGACCCGAGATCAAGGGACCTGTACTGTTGCCTTTCACGTCCTGCCTTTTTAGAATTGCTTCCCTCAGTTTTCTCTGTTCATTTTAGCCCGGAAGTTATGAGATCCGGCATTATGGACCAGCCAAATGGGTCAGCACTTCCGTTGAGTCCATGGACTGGGATTCAGCCATCCAGACTGGTTTTACAAAGCTGAACGGCTACATTCAAGGCAAAAATGAGAAAGGTGAAGACGATTTACTTTACATATATTGTGGTTGAGTCCCCTGGCTTATCTTGCGTTTTAGGTTATTAAAGAGATATACTTTAGAATAGAAAAATGAGATCACCGAATACTTAAATGTTTGAAGACAGGGACTCTGCTCAGGACCCTTAGCAGAGTCTAGAGGAGGGTAGTGCTTTTCAACCTCTATTCTTGTCTGTTTCTGCTGGATGAACTGGGCCTCTGTGTAACTGGTGTTAAGTCCTTTTGATGGCTAATGCTCCAAGGTAATTTGGTGACTGGTAGGTTAAGAGTGATCAGGAGGCAGGAAGGTACTAAGAACCCAAGATCAAGGGTCTCAAGACATCTGGTTCGGGCTCTAACGCTATTTATGTTTTAGCTGGTCACTTAGCCTGTGGGATCTCAGTTTCCGAATTGTAAAAAAAAAAAAAAATAGGCTGGACTATACGATCTCTAATTTTCCCTTCCATCCCTAAAACTAGAATTTATTAACCAAAAATAGTAGTACAGAAAGTGTTTAATGCGGCCAGTGGATAATTGAATCATTCTGCCCTTATTTTTTAATGATGAAAATTATCTCAGTAGCATAATGTAAGTCAGGAAACTCAGATCAAAAAATAGTAGGTTAAGTTTTAAAAGTAGTCATAAATATGCTAAATCTGCTTTGATGGTCTTCTCGCGGTATTTAAATATATTATTTTATGGTCCAGAGATGAAGATAAAGATGACAGCTCCAGTGACAAGCTATGTGGAGCCCGGTTCCGGTCCTTTCAGCGAGTCTATCATTACCATTTCCCTGTACATCCCCTCTGAACAGCAATCCGATCCGCCCAGGCCTTCAGAGTCAGATGTCTTCATTGAAGACAGAGCTGAAATGACTGTGTTTGTACGGTAAGTGGTAGATAATTTATAGCCCTGCTGACTGCTAGTTTTCCTCGCCTGCTCTCAGTTGAGCTCCTCTGCAATTTCAGCAGGCTTTTCACCCTTCCGTAAAAAAAGAGGTCGAATGCATTTTGTGGTGTTTTCCTCCTGGCTCAGTTTTATGTGTTCCTAAGGGTCTACTGCAAGATACAATTAATTCACGTAATGAAGAGTTTGTTGCATACCTTCCACAACTAAGACACAATGCACATTATTCTCAGCCTGCCGTTGAGGTGAACCTGAACAAGAATCCTAACACACAGTGCAGGGTGCTCCTCCTCCTCCCAGCTTCTAGGTTCTGATAGCCCCGGACTCTTCCTGTGTTCCCCAGCCCGAGGGATGCTAGCTGCTTCCTGCAGTCATTGCCTCTGTTCATCGAGTGGTTCCTTATACTGTTTTGGGCTTCCAGTACCTGTTTGACACATTCTTAAATTCTCTCTGCTGAAATCTAAAACACACACACAACATGGTAACAGTCTCATACTGGTGTTGCTTTATTCCTTTCTCTCCTTCTTGTCACCACCCACCTGCTAAAGGAATCTGTCTGTCTCTGTTTCCACGGGCTCCTCAGACCACCACAGTCTGGGAGAGCCCATACCACCTCCTTGGGGCTGCCCTGGTCACCCTCCGCTGTGCCCTTGCCTTTGGCACGTGATGGCAGCTCTTGTCCGTGTGACCCCTGCGGCCTTCGTGTATTGACCCATCTGTTCTCTTGATGCTGAGCCATCCTGTTCAGTCTCAGAAAGTCACTGTCTTGCCATTCTTCTCCTCCTGTTCCTCTCTCTCACCCAGGAAGCGCTGTTGATGCCCCGCATTGACTCCCATGTCATAGCAGACTTGCTCTGGGTGATCTGTTTATAAAACTTCAACTACGTGTGTCCAGTGACTCTCAAAATTTAGTATCTCCAGCCCCGATTACCCTACTTACTGGAGATTTCCATGGGAGGTAGGTGGGGATCAAGCTCAACAGCTCTACAAATGAGCCTTCCCTCAGTTCTCAATGTATGTGAGCAGTGATCTCTTGCCTGTCTCAGCAAAGGGCTTCGTCAGCCAGACAGCGTCCCCAGCAAGGACCTCAAAGGCCACCATCAGCGCACCCATCCCTGACAACTGGTTACCAGATCCGGTCCAGGCTCCTTGGAAATGATCCATGATTCTGTTCCCTCTCCCCTTCCCTGTGACTTCCTCAGGTCCTCATCCTCTAGGAACCACACCTCAGTCATTTCTGTGTGCCTCAGTGCTTGGCACAGTGCCTGACACTCAGTAGGTGCTCGGATGTCTATTCTTCTCAGGTCTTGACTGCTCCACTTCAGTGGCCTCCCAACTGCTGGGAGTAACCTGCCCACCATTCTCTTCTTCTCATGCTCTACACGGGAACCCATGGTCTTTCTTACCACCACAGCAGCAAAACAAAACAAAACAAAAACCCCACCCCATGACTTCACTAAAAATCTCTGTGACTTTCCACTTGCTTCAGGATGAAGTTCAGACTATTCACAATGCCTTTTATAATGTGGCCCAACCGTGTCTCCCCACTAGCTACATTCCATTGACCTTCCCACCCTTCCCTGAGCAGCCCGTGTTCTTCCACATCTCTCTTTTTTTCTTAAGTTTTTATTTCAATTCCAGTTAGTCACCATACAGTGTCCTCTTAGTTTCACGGGATTCAGCACTTCCCTCCATCACCTGGAGCTCATCATGACAAGTGCCCTCCTTCCTCCCCATCACCTGTTTCACCCATCCCCCACCCACCTCCCCTCTGGGAACCACCAGTTTGTTCTCTAGAGTTAAGAGTCTGTTTCTTGGTTTGCCTCTCTTTTTTTTCCCCTTTGCTCATTTATTTTGTTTCTTAAATTCCACATGAGTGAAGTCACATGGTGTTTGTCTTTCTCTGGCTAACTTATTTTGCTTAGAATAATACTCTCTAGCTCCATCCATGTTGTTGCAAATGGCAAGATTTCATTCTTTTTATAGCTGAGTAATATTCCATTGTGTATATATAGCACATCTTCTTTATCCATTCACCCATCTATGGACACTTGGGCTGTTTCCATGTTTTAGCTGTTGTAGATAATGCGGCTGTAAACATCAGGGCACATATATCCCTTTGATTTAGGATTTTTGTATTCTTTGGGTAAATACCTAGTAGTGCAATTGCTGGATCGTAGAGTGTTTTTTTTGTTTGTTTGTTTTTAACTTTTTGAGGAACCTCCATACTGTTTTCCAGAGGGGCTGCACCAGTTTGCATTCCCACCAGCAGCGCCCTTTCTCCACATCCTCGCCAACACCTGCTGTTTCTTGTGTTGATTTTAGCCATTCTTACAGGTGTGAGGTGGTATCCCATTGTAGTTTTGATTTGCATTTCCCTGGTAAGTGATATTGAGCATCTTTTCATGTGTCTGTTGGCCATCTGTATATCTTCTTTGGAGAAATGTCTGTTCATGTCTTCTGCCTGTTTTTTAATTGGATTTGTTTTTTGGGTGTTGAGTTTTCTAAGTTCTTTATATATGTTGGATACTAACCCTTTATCGGATATGTCATTTGCAAGTATCTTCTCCCATTCTGTAGGTTGACTTTTAGTTTTGTTGATTGTTCCTTTGCTCTGCAGCTTTTTATTTTGATGTGGTCCCAATAGTTTATTTTTGCTTTTGTTTCCCTTGCCTTAGGAGACATATCTAGAAAGAAGTTGCTGTGGGCAATGTGAAAGAAGTTACTGCCTGTGTTCTCTTTTAGACCTTATGGTTTCAGGTATCACATTTTGGTCTTTAACCCATTTTGAATCTTTTTGTGTATGGTGTAAGAAAGTGGTCCAATTTCATTCTTTTGCAAGTTGCTGTCCAGTTTTCCCAACACCATTTGTTGAAGAGACAATCCAATATCCCATTAAGTATTCTTTCCTCCTTTGTCGAAGATTAACTGACCATATAATCGTGGGTTCATTTCTGGGTTTTCTATTCTGTTCTATTGATCTAAGTGTCTATCTTTGTGCCAGTACCATACTGTTTTCATTATAGAACTTTGTAATATAACTTGAAATCTGAAATTGTGATGCCTCCAGCTTTGCTTTTCTTTTTCAAGGTGGCTTTGGCTATTCGGGGTTTTTTGTGGTTCCATACAAATTTTAGGATTGTTTGATCAAGCTCTGTGAAAAATGCTGTTGGTATTTTGATAGGGATTGCATTAAATATGTAGATTACTTTGTGTAATATAGACATTTTAACAATGTTTGTTCTTCCAATCCATGAGCATGGAATGTCTTTCCATTTCTTTGTGTCCTCTTCAATTTGTTTCATCAGTATTTTATTTATTTTTTTAAAAGACTTTATTTATTTGAGAGAGAGAGAGAGAGTGGTTGAGAAAGCAGGAGTGGGGGGAGAGGTAGAGAGAGAGGAAGAAGCTGACTCCCCACTGAGCAGGGAGCCTGACTCGGGGCTCAGTTCCAGGACTCTGGGATCATGACCTGAGCCGAAGGCAGATGCTTAATCAACCGAGCCACCCAAGCACCCCTTTCATCAGTATTTTATAGTTTTCAGAGTACAGGTCTTTTACATCCTTGGTTAGGTTTATATCTAGGTATCTTATGGTTTTTGGTGCAGCTGTAAATGGGATTGATTCCTTAATTTCTCTCTCTGCTGCTTCATTATTGGTATATAGAAATGCAACAGATTTCTGTAAATTGATTTTATATCTTGCAACTTTACTGAATTTGTTTATCAGATCTAACAGTTTTTTGGTGGAGTCTTTCAGGTTTTCTATATATACTATCATGTCATCTGCAAATAGTGAAAGTTTTACTTCTTCTTTGCCATTTGGATGTTTTTTCGTTGTTGGATTGCTGTGGCTAGGACCTTCCACATCTCTTTACCTGTGACCTCAGGCAGGTTCCTCAGATTTTCTTGCCTGAAGCTCTTCATCTGTAAAATGTGTATAGTTATAGTACCATTTCATAGGGTTGCCATGAAGACTAAATGAGTTAATTTCTCTAAAATAGTTAAAATGTGCACCTTACCTTAACTACTAGTTCTAGCTCTTTCTTTCTCCTCTTCCTGGAGCATCCACTTTCGTCCTTCAGGACTTGGATCAAATGGTATCTCCTCTGTGATGCCTTCCTCAGTTTCTCCAGTTAGCTAGCCACTCTGTTCTTCTATTATTCTAAGTTATAGTGATAGAGGTACAAACTGTAACTTTCTCAAGAATACTGCAACATGGTACTCTGTTCATACCCTGCGGCTCCTAGCAAGGCAGGTGTGTGGGAAGAGAATCATATGTTTGTGTATTGAATAAAGCTGTGAGGGATCATTGTAGAACAATATGTATTCGGAGAACAAAGGATGATTTCTAACTAGGGGGTTCAAGATTTGATTTCAGGGCAGAAATAGGATCTAAAAACAAGTTTCCTTAGGCAGAACAGACTATGAGTTGGCTCTTCATTAAGGAAATAATAGATTTAGGAGGCAAATATTTCTTAACACATGGTTCAGAATTATCATTATCAGTCAACATTCTGAAAATTAGAACAGTTTTATCAATTTATCTTCAGTGTTTTGTTTCATGTACATGTGTGTATATAGATTCCTATACTATTCAATGAGGATTTAAAAGATACCACATGCTACGAACAATTCTAGATGCCTCATGAACATCGTTGAATCAAATACATATAGTGTGTACCGTTGAGAGCTTACATCTTACCTGAAGAATGGTAGGACTAAGCTTTTCCATTGGCACATTGATAATACAACTTATGCTAAAGAAGGTATATTGGGAATATTCGTGATTTTCTGTGTTTCCTATTCTTAACTTTCAAAATCAGATTCATCATATTTACATGTCAGCAACTCAGCTAGGTCTGGGTGTTGCCATAATTTAACCTCAGGATAGTTTTGTTTATATACTTGAAAATCTATACTTAAACTTTTATGCTCTTTTCCCACTTTTTATTTAAATCTTTTGACTGTCTTTTCTTCCTCATCCCCATAGCAACCTCCAAACTGGCTCCTTCCCTCTAGTCTCTTTTCCATCTGAGTTTCCCGGATCCTAAGAAGTTACTTTTCTGCTCAGCATCCTTCAGAATAATCTCAAAAGGCCTTGAGATGACATAAAAGATTCTTCTTTCTGGCTCTGACTCACCTTTCAGAGCTCATTTTGTGCCTCACTATGAACATGCTTTGTATTTTTGAACTTCTGTTCCTTTTCTTCTCCTTCCCCTTTTCCTGCTCAGCAAAGCCATCCTCCATTCCAGACCCAACTCAGATGACATCCCTTACCCCTGATTCAGTCATATCCTCGGGGTTCCCAAGCATATCGATCCTGTCTCTGTTAAATCTCCTCAGGCTGTATGTAAAGAGCTGCCAAAATGTTCCCCTCTTCCAGTAGACTATAAATTCATAGGGTCGAAACTCTACCATATTCATCTGTGATGTGGCACCTACCTTTTTCCCAAGGAGAGGAGGGGAGGGGAACTGTTCCATAGAAAATTGGAAGTCTGAAAGGGAGTCTTCTAAGGGGGTTTCAGTATGGTCCTCTGACCGGCAGCATCAGCATCATCGGGAGCTTGTTAGGAATGCAGATTCTCAGGCCCCACCCCAGACCTCCTGCATCTGCATTTTAGCAAGATTCCCAGGTGATTAGTATGTGCTCGTGAAAGTCTGAGAAGCAAGAGTTAGAGCACAAGATGGTGAACGTTCCAAGTCTGCTTGCCAGCAGCTGGGACATGTGCCTCCTCGTGGGTCCCCTCCATGTGTGGCGAGGTGGCGCTGAGAATGGGAACCAGAGGAGAGGAGGTTGGCTGCTGGGGGAGGGGGTGCTGGGGGAGCTCGGAAGCTGCACTTGATCCAGCCTCATCGTGTCAGCTTCTGCTCCCCTTTTCGGACTGACATTTACATCAGCGTGAACATCATTCATGATTATTTACTTTCTCCTTCTCAGGGCTTTCGACGGATTCTCTAGTGCTCAAAAGAATCAAGAACAACTTTTGACATTAGCAAGCACTTTGAGGGAAGAAGGAAAAGTTTTCAATGAGAAGGTTTACTACACCGCAGGCTACAACAGTCCTTTCAAGTTGCTTGATAGAAATAATGAAGTGTGGTTGATTCAGAAAAATGAACCCTCCAAAGAAAATGAATGAGAAAAAAACCCGAGGACGTTCCATTGCTTACTGTAGACATCAACACTACCTACCCGCAAAATGCAGGTCTAGTTGCTCTACCGGAGTGAACTGTGATTAACTGAGCTTATTTCCAAGGTGTCTTTTAATGCTTGAAGCTTTATCTAGATACACAGGGAACAGGGGACAGTATTCTAGAAACATGTGAATCAGTCACAGCTCTGGGGGAGTTTATTTCTGTGAGGTTCCCGGGAAGTGTCCTGTTACTTGACCCTTCTTCACATCATGTTGCCTTTTTTGACTTGGATTTGTGTCATTTGGATATTATCCCCTCCAGATATTATCAATAAAAATGCCAAAGAGGTATCCTGTATGGCACGGCTAGGCTGTGAAGCCTTGCGAGGTGAAGTTCAGTTGAAAACAAAAATCAGATTCTTTTGCACCTGACCCTGTCACATTCTTTGTGGGCTCCTCTTCCCCATCTGCCCAACCGCCCTCACCGCAACAGAAAATTCCCACCATACCCAAAAGGGTCGATAATATTTCATGGCAAAGAACAAATTTATGAAGTTAGGGACTTCTATTCCAAAACTCAATAAAGGCATGTTCTTTCCCGAAGGCATGTATACAAACATGTAATTTTAAAATTCTAGTGGGGCGCCTCGGTGGCTCAGTCGTTAAGCGTCTGCCTTTGGCTCAGGTCATGATCCCAGGGTCCTGGGATCGAGCCCCACATCGGGCTCCCTCATCCGCAGGAAGCCTGCTTCTCCCTCTCCCACTCCCGCTGCTTGTGTTCCCTCTCTCGCTGTGTCTCTTTCTGTCAAATAAATAAATAAAATCTTTAAAAAAAAAAAAAGTATTTCATGTCATTCTGGAGGTCATATAAAAATGATTATAGTTGGGCGCCTGGGTGGCTCAGTTGGTTAAGCGACTGCCTTCAGCTCAGGTCATGATCTTGGAGTCCCAGGATCGAGTCCTGCAT